TTTTTTTTCGAGGAGATGTAAAATCCAGAAAATCGGTCAAATTAAGCTATATGGACAGTAACTTTACTAAAAACTGAATCGTCATGTGCTCACAAATTAAAATAATAAGCATGTAAGTGCATGTAGCAGAAAATATTAACTTGATTGACGAAAATGGTGAGGGTAGTGTTGGATAACCCAAAATGGAAGAGCGATTAGTAAAATCGACCGGGCACAGGATGCGACCGGTGTGGAGAGCAATGAAGGTGTCAATGATGTAGGCTGACTAGGAGGGTCAAGTACTTTGCGACGGCAAAATTTGCTACGGTATACCCCTAAAATGTATTTCAGGGAATAATACAGTAAACTTGAACATCTGGACTCTCACGATTAATGTTTTAGGCACTTCAGTTAATTAACAATACAAAAAACTCATATTAAAAACTGTGAAATCACTCATTTATCTCTATTTCAATTTTACATTAATTACTACTTATGAGTGATCAGTCGAAATTCATTTTCTAGTGATTTATAGCAGTAGAACTACTATTTTTTGTTCCCACTGTTCATAAAACATTCTAAATATCCAGGTATTTATAATCTTAAACTAATAGTTGCCAGTTGCGTCCTACTTCGGTGGAATTGAAAATAACATCACTCAAAAAATGAAATTCATCTGCTCTCACGGTGATTGCTGACGTTTACATTAAAGCCAAAATCTTTCTTTAGGATTTGGTAGTAGTTGATTCGTCACTTTTTCAAAACTTCTATAAATCATCTTTTAATTAAAAGAGGTATTCGGCGGAGAATTGCGAAATATCATTATAACATTGACTTTTATTGAGCTAAGTCAATATTTTCTATTGACTTAGTTTCTTAACTCAGTCCCAGAAACGGAAAAGACAAACTGACAGAAGTTTTTATTTTCTATAAGTGACGTCAATCTAAACAGACGTCTTTAATCACATCATCTTATCAATATGATTACTGTATGTACATATGAGTTCTGTCACTTATCAATGTTCGGGGTGCACAACTTTGGCTTTCAGCTTTGGTAATGATGACAAGTCAACAGCCTTTGAGGTATCGATAACTTCAGCTAGATGAACCTGAAAAAGCAATGTAGATTACTGTACGAACGACCAATCTTATGTTATCGATGGATTTCACACAATTTGGAGATTCAATTGTTTGCAATATAATGTAATACCATTAGGGTATACAATGAAACTAAAATGAAAATTCTCACAAATTTGTCTTTGGAGGACATGCTGACGGAATAATCCAATTATATAATGTAAATTTAAGGAAGTATCAGGCAACCTTTCATAGAAAAGCTATCTCATCTGAGCGCCATCTGGGCTGACGGAGACCTTCTAACGATGTCTAACCAGAACTTTAAAGTCAACCATTATTTTGAAGGCCCAATGTAGAAACTCGGTGATTGCCGCTTGTGAAGCTACACAACAGGCACTAGAAAGAATACCCTCTGGCAACATTTGCTTAGACAGCTAGCTGTTTAAAAGGGATTATCACCAAGAATTTCAGCTCATGGTTAAATTGCTTATGGCTCCTTCTGAATGAATGGGGTCCAGACAGCCAGACAGGTGGCAAAAGGTTGATAATACTAGTGCCCATTATTTCACTGATGGCCACTTATCCATATTCGGAAAAGAATAATTTAGATGACAGTCTTTAATTGGACGCCCTAATACTATTTTATTAAATATCAGCAAATCATTTCATTGTAGACCTCCATGTCGAAAGCTCGTTGTAGTTTAACTTTTTTATCGAGAATAAATTTTCTTCAAGGACTTGAATTTTTTGGAATGAAGCGACTTTACCTCATCTCCTCTTCTCGTAGCTACACAATCACATCGATCCTCATCAAACATTTGATATTTTGGGCAGGAAATCGGCTCGCACGTACATGCGCACTTATCCTCATCCCATTCTCGGTAACCTTGAGGTAATTAATACTATTTGGTAGGGTAGGTAAGAGATGTAAAGATGGATAGTGGAATGAGGGATTGACAGGATGGGAACTGAATGTAAATCTTTTCAAATGCGCAATTAGTAAAACTTATAAGAATTACTCCAAGTACAGAGGTCATAAGGAAATTGGAAAGCGTCAAATTCTAAGCCTTAAAGAGGTTAGTCACATGTCCTCAGGTAAATACACTTAACTCAAAATCCATTAGTTCTAGATTAAATGAAAATAGCAGTAAACTGTTTTACCATGTATCCCTCTCCGAGAAATGAAAAGAAACTTTATAGGCTAGAAGGGTCTGAGCTTTGCTTTTGTGGGCTGATTATGCAAAAATTGTGAGAATTTTTTACAATGGAATCTCTGCTATAACAGCAAACGTTACGTCATAGAGTTCTGATGCGGTTGGAATGTTGATCCATAAAAACACGCTGTTATCAAAAAATGTTAGAAATGTTAAAAATAAGCTGTAGAAACTTATAATAATCTACCAAAACTATTACTCTATCCATATCACAAATATGGAACCAAACATTCACAAAAACAAAATCAAGAGCAACTTTTAAAAAATTCATTGTAACAAGTAATTTAATTCACAACACACAATGGAAAATACGTAAGAAAGTGGAAAAAGCAAATTTCATGCAATGCTGTGCCGTCTATTTACTACAACTCTTCTACGTCCAGATTGACGTCTTCTTATTTTATCACGAAGTTCATGCAGGGTTAATCGATCACGTGGTAAAGGTTTCACTACTTCACAACATTCAGCACCTTCACAATTATGTCGTTCGCCTTTGTTTGCACATTGACATTTGCAATCTGAGCCGATCACGAATCCTGGCGGGCATTCGGGTACCTGCACGGGGCGGTAAGGTTAAACTTCCTAAGACATTGAAAACATGGGTATTGATTACATTCGGTCCACAGTCGTAGCAAGAACATGAAGTATGTTCTTCCATTGTGATGTTGAGCGTTTGATTCAGCATGAAACGTCCATTTCCCACGTACAGCATCTCTATCACCTAGGATTTTTTTTTACATTTTACAATCTGAGGAGCCATTGATTCAGGTGGACTCACTGGTCTTTCCAATTTTCGAATACTATGGGGATGGCAGCGTTCAAAAGAGTCACAACATGAACCAACACATTGCATGACCTGAAATGGTAACCTACAGTACTTAAGGAATCCGTTGTCACACTAAGATTTGCTAGTGTAACTCTAGAATTACGAGGATTTGGCGAAAAGTTGCAATATTTTGAGCGCGTCCCAAGGAAAAAAATCGGTGACGTAGTTATCGCCTATCGTTTCCTCATTTGGCTTCTAACTAGCTCTTGCTTATTTCCATTTCTTTCCTTTTTTTGACTCAATTGAAAGAATAGAGTTTGCAAAAAGTAAGTTATTTTTAAGGTTATTGGGTGTTTTGGTTAATAATATTTTAATTTGGTGAAGTATTTTTTCGTTTACAGAAACTGCGTCTGCTTAGGCAAGAATCCCTTTGCTTACCTCATAACATTTGGGATAAATAACGACTTGTGGATCACCATTGTCCAGTGGAATTGGCACGCAGACCGACTGCAGCTGGCATGTGTCATTCCCTTGTTTTATAGATCCAAATAGGCTCAGGTGTTCAGCAGTGTTGACTACAAAAAGTGACTAATACGAATATTTCACGTGAAATATGAGGTCGGGAGGGGAAGACGTGGGTTTAATGGAAGGGTAAAAAGCTGGTGTTCTGTGTATATCATATAACAGTTTATACAAAAGTTCTGCCTAAGTTTACTTCATAGAGAATTTGAAAAAAAAGTTTTATTCTAATTTTTTGGAGAGGTAATCAATTTCATGCATATCTCGTAACCTATTCTGAATATTTGTCTGGCTACAATTGTAATAAAAGTTATTATAACTTTTGCAGAAAGTCCCGTACTTTGAAGGTATTGAGTAGCTCAAGACTTACCATCCATCGTATTGCTCGTTGTTGGAGCATCATCCACAGTCATCGTTCGAAGACGTGAAGCTGAGGATTTGATAAAGTTGGCTGCACTGATCCTCATGGGTTTTCGAGCTTAAATCAATTTCATTCAGAGAAATCAAAAAATATATGCACATATTGGAAAATTGGAAAATCTAATTCTCTAATTGACAGACTTTTATTGATAGGTCAATCACATACACAAGTTCCAGAATTTGTTGTGATTTCTACTTACATTGTACAATAAGCATAGAAATGGAGAAAATACGTTGGTTAATTTCCCAAGAAAATCTGTGAAGCTTGTGAGTGATTCATGAGTTTTCATGAGTGATTTTTGTTCTTGAAGGCGTGATTAAATAACTGATGGTTACTTGCTCACGTCCTTGTGTTGCATATGTCTTCTGAGTATGCTGATTTGT